ATACAAAAAACTAGCCGGGCGAGGTGGCAGGCGCCTGTAGTCCCAGCTACTCGGGTGGCTGAGGCAGGAGGATGGCGTAAACCCGGGAGGCGGAGCTTGCAGTGAGCTGAGATCCGGCCACTGCACTCCAGCCTGGACGACAGAGCCAGACTCCGTCTCAAAAAAAAAAAAAAAAAAAAAAAAAAAAAAAAAGAGTTTACAGGGTTCAGGCTTGATAAACCTCTTGGATAAGAAAGGTAGGTAGATATAGAACAAGATTTGCATCCATCACATGGGAAGAGTGTACACTGGCCTGGGAGTACAAACCCCTTTCTGCCAGGGTAGGGAAGGTTCTTGGGGGAAAGGTGGTTTTCATAATACATCTTAAACAATAACAAAGATGCCAGAATCCCATAGTTTCCCTTTCTGGAGTTGATGTTTGGATGCAAATTATGGGCATGTTTTGCCTTAAATAAATCCAGTGTTAGGCCAGGGCAGTGGCTCATGCCTGTAATCCCAGCACTTTAGGAGGGCAAAGCAGGCAGATTGCTTGAGCTCAGGAGTTCAAGACCAGCCTGGGCGACATGGCAAAATCCTGTCTCCACAAAAAAATACAAAAATTAGGCCAGGCACGGTGGCTCACGCCTGTAATCCCAGCACTTTGGGAGGCCAAGGCAGGTGGATCATAAGGTCAGGAGTTCAAGACCAGCCTGGTCAACATGGTGAAACCCTGTATCTACTAAAAACACAACATTTGCTGGGTATGGTGGCACACACCTGTAATTCCAGCTACTTGGGAGGCTGAGGCATGAGAATTGCTTGAACCTGGGAGACAGAGGTTGCGGTGAACCAAGATTGTGCCATTGCACTCTAGCCTGGGCAACAAGAGTGGAAACTCTATCTCAAAAAAAAAAAAAAAAAAAAAAAAAGGAAAAGAAAAGAAAAGAAAATCCAGTGTTGATAAGTTGATTTCCCAAAGCAGATGAATTGGGAAGTTGGGTGTGGTGATTATTTATGTTACATAGTAGCTACTGGTGTAGCTATGTAAAGATGCTGTGGTTTACGCCTATAATCCCAGCACTTTGGGAGACTGAAGTGGGCGCATCACAAGGTCAGGAGATCGAGACCATCCTGGCTAACATGGTGAAACCCCGTCTCTACTAAAAATACAAAAAAAAAATTAGCCGGGTGAGGTGGCAGGTGCCTGTACTCCCAGCTACTTGGGAGGCTGAGGCAGGAGAATGGCGTGAACCCGGGAGGCGGAGCTTGCAGTGAGCCGAGATCACGCCACTGCACTCCAGCCTGGGTGACAGATTGAGACTCCGTCTCAAAAAAAAAATAATAATTAAATAGCAGCTACTGGCTGGGCACGGTGGCTCACGCCTATAATCCCAGCACCATGGGAGACTGAGGTGGCTGATTGCTTGAGGCCAGGAGTTCAAGATCAGCCTGGGCAACATGGTAAAACCCTATCTCTACAAAAACAAAACAAAACAAAAATTAGCTGGGCATGGTGGTGTGCACCTGTAGTCCCAGCTACTCAGGAGGCTAAGGTGGGAGGATCACTTGAGCCTGAGGAGGCTGAAGCTGCGGTGAGCTGTGATCATGCCACTACACTCCAGCCTAGATGACAGAGTGAGACCTTGTCTCAAAAAAAAAAAAAAAAAGAAAAGAAAAGAAAAGAAAAAAAGTAGCTACCACTGATGCAGGACTCATTTACATACTTTATCTCAAGCAATTCTGACAACACAATGAAATGTGTACTATCTATCCCATTCTTCAGATGAGGAACTTAAGGTTTAGAGAGCTTTAGTTCCTTCCTGAGGATTACTTTTCTACTAAGTGCCAGAGAGAACCAGCATTGAAAGCCAGATCGGTCTACCTCCAAAGACTATGCTCTTAAATTCTCCATTAGTCAGCTCCTCCGTGCAGTGGGATTTGATGCTTTACCAGAAATATCAAGACCGTAAATGCATCTTAAACACAATTTGATTTTCAAAGGTAGAAAAAAAAAAAAGGAATGAAGTTTTACCAAGTGCCTATAGTATCCAGATAGTATGTCAGGGGATATGACTATGTCATTTTGTAAAAAATTAAATTTTATAAAATAATCAATTCTGGTGGAATATTTTCAAAATATACTTGTCAGTTAAAGTTAGGTTTACATGGCCAGGCACAGTGGCTCACGCCTGTAACCCCAACACTTTGGGAGGCCGGGGCAGGCAGATCACGAGGTCAGGAGATCGAGACCATCCTGGCTAACACAGAGAAACCCCGTCTCTACTAAAAATATAAAAAAAATTAGCTGGGCGTGGTGGCAGGTGCCTGTAGTTCCAGCTACTCAGGAGGCTGAGGCAGGAGAATGGCGTGAATCCATGAGGCGGAGCTTGCAGTGAGCCAAGATTGTGCCACTGCACTCCAACCTGGGTGACAGAGTGAGACTCCGTCTCAAAACAAATAAACAAACAAAAAAAGTTAGGTACACACATGCAAATCATCCCCCTCAAGTAGTCTCATAAACTAGTCAAAACTTTCCCAGGGCAGAGGGCAGATTTTGCTCCCTATTTTATCCCCTTTGTTCATAGAATATTTGTCTTAGGCCGATAAATAATTACTGAATGAATTAGTGTGTAAAAATGTGAACCTATTTTGAGGACAGCCATCAGAAAGCCTTATTTCTTAAAATGAAAGTGGCTCACCCTGGCAACCAGACATGGAGATAGGGGGATTGCTCAATATACACCCAAAGTAGGTCTTATGCAGAAGACTTAAGAAAGATGAGAGCGAAAATAAGACAAGAATATGGAGATATGGTTTTTGAAACTTGAAAAACTATACTTTGTTTTTCTAATGCTTGTTTCTATTCAGATTGGGGAAATTAAAAGCTCTTACTAGTTCAAAGTTTTGCCTGATGAATATTACACCTACCCCTTTCAGAGATCTCAGTGAATGAGTCCGTCTGTGACTTTTTTTTCAGCACTGTGATCCAAATGATATCCAAACATAACATTCCCCCTCCTACCCCCAACCCCTCAGTGCATGTGTGTTTGGTAAATGTTAATGTGTCTGGGGTGTTTGGTATTGGGAAGTTAACATTCTTTTTTTTTTTGGTTGGAAATGCAAATAGTTCATCAAATGTAATGCTTTTGGTGAACCAGAGATTGAAAGAATGAACCAATTTTGAAGACAGTAATCATGGACTTGATTTGCAGCTTAAGAAAGGTCATTTCTGCTGAGTAGTATCCTGAAGCAAATACTACTAAGGGAAGCTACGAACTTTCTAGACTTAACTTTCTTAAAACAATGGATAAACATCCCTCTTGAGAAATGCAGGTATTCACATGCTTAAAGACAGAGGTTTGGTACATATGCTTTTTTTTTTTTTTCTTCTGAGACAGGGTCTTGCTTTACTGCCTAGACTGGAGTGTAGTGGCACAGTCATAGCTCACTGCAGCCTCAGCCTCCCTAAGTGTTGGGATTACAGATGTGAGCCTCTGCGCCTGGCCTGCAGATGCTATCTTAAGGGTGCTTGCAGGCCTCTGGTGTGGTCAGAGCTCATGGGTTGTAAAGTCATAAATAAGTTATCTGCTTATTTATGTTTCTAAATGAATCTCTGTCTGCCCTTATGTCTTCAGGCCAATAGCAGAGAGCAGTAGTCTTAGGAAGCGGAAATAATCACTGGGCTCAGAGTTCTTCACTGCCTGCTCCACACATTAAAATTCAGTATCCCAATTAGATTGTTCCAGGGACACTCCCTCCCTTCTTTCCTTTCTTCCACTGACGCATTCATCCATTCATTCAACAAACATTGATGGAGCCCCTCTGGTGAGAGGAAACACACAAATAAACCCTTAGAGTCCAGTGTGCAAACGAGGGTTAGAGCGGTGCACAGCTTTTGGAAGAGCAGAGTGGAGGGACCCCTGACTGTTGGCAGTCAGGGGCAAGATTTTCCTAGAGGAAGGGAGCTTGAGCTGAGCCTTTAAACTGTTTTTGGTTTTTTTTTTTTTTTGAGACAGATTCTCACTCTGTTGCCCAGATTGGAGTACAGTGGTGCTATCTTTGCTCACCCCAACCTCTGACTCCCAGGCTCAAGCGATTCTCCTGCCTCAGCCTCCTGAATAATTGGGATTACAGGCATGTGCCACTACCGCCCAGCTAATTTTCGTATTTTTAGTAGAGACAGGGTTCACCATGTTGGCCAGCCTGGTCTTGAACTCCTGACCTCAAATGATCCACCCACCGCTGCTTCCTAAAGTGCTGGGATTATAGTCGTGACTCACTGCACCTGAGCTGAGCCTTTAAGAACACAAGAAAAGTTTGCTAGGAATAAAAGAAATGGTAAGGCTGTCCAGGTTCTCATACCATGTGTGAAAGCATGGGCGTGGGGGTGGAGAGGAGAAGTAGGCAGGGGAAATTGTGGCAGAGGCCAAGAAGGGAAGTAACCCTGCTTGGGCTCTAGACTGTGTGTAGAGCCATGATGAGAGATAAGGTCAGATAAGAATAACAATTGCTAACATTTATTGAACACCTGCTATTTTCCAGGCACTGTTCTAATGGATTTATGTGTTTTGACTTAGTTAATCATGGCAACAGCCTTATGAGGTGTGTATAAATATTACTACTGTTTTTCAGATTCACAGGGAGATCAAGTATTTTGCCCAAGAGCACACAGCTAGGAAGTGGAGAAGTCCCGGTTCAACCCAGACAGATTGACTCCTTCCTTCCACTGATGCATTCATCCATTCATTCAACAAACATTGATGGAGCCCCTCTGGTGAGAGGAAACACACAAGTAAGCCGTTAGAGTCCAGTGTGCAATCAAGGGTTAGAGCTGTGCACAGCTTTTGGAAGAGCAGAGTGGAGGGACACCTGACTGTTGGCAGTCAGGGGCAAGATTTTCCTAAAGGAAGGGAGCTTGAGCTGAGCCTTTAAAGTCTTTTTTTTTTTTTTTTTTTTTAGAGACATATTCTCACTCTGTTTTCCAGACTGGAGCACAGTGGTGCCATCTCTGCTCACCCCAACCTCTGCCTCCCAGGCTCAAACGATTCTCCTGCCTCAGCCTCCTGAATAATTGGGATTACAGACATGTGCCACTACCGCCCAGCACTCACAGAATATTTATGGAGGAAACAACAAATGAATTTATTGATTTTTATCTATTAATTATATGGAAGTGAATTCAGACTTCTTCAGGGTTATGCTTACCTTTGCTTTTGAGATGTAAATTAGCAAAAACGAGATTCCACTAAAACCTTGTCACATATATATATTTGGAAATCTGTGGAATGGTCAACCCCAAACCAAAATTTACATAAGATTAACTTATTTCTTTCAAATTTACAACCAATGGATTGTGGGGTGTGTGTGGTGTGTGTGTGTGTGTGCGCGTGTGTTCCATTTGTAGCATGTGTAGTTGCTTTATCTAATATGTACATTCTCTAATTCACAGATGGTTCCAACTTCCTACTCTTCCAGTTAAAATAAACAAAAAGGAGGGTCCTGAGTGTTTATGATTTTCCTAAGATCGATGGTATTTCTTCTGCAGATGATCAACAGTTGCCTGCCTTGGAATTTGGAGTTCGTAAGAACTAGGTAGGTAATGCAATTAGGTCACACTGACATTCAGGGATGGAATTTCCCCAGTGACATTAATGCATCCATTGCTTCCTATATATTTCAGTGTCATAAACAAAGTTGTTCTTTCCTTTGCAAGAAGAAAAGAGCACGGTGGAAACCGAGAAGTGTGTCTTCTGTTTGGTCAGCAAGGCAGGAAAGGCCTTGTGTGCTCTGTCCGTCAACACTGATAAGCTATGACATCAGGAGACTGGGAGGATCCCCAGCTGTTCCACCTACACTGGGTCCCAGGGCGCGGGATCCTGCTCAGGAAGCACGGGGAGCTCAAACGGAAAGATGAGCATCATGAACACAATAAGTCTACTCGGACTTTCTTAAATTATTTGAGTATCCATATATTTGACTTCAAGAGACCTTTATTTTCTGGGTTTCTTCCTTGTAGCTCAAAGAGTACGTGCTTTGAGCATTTCAGTTGGTGCAGCCCCTCTACAAAAGCCTTCCTTCAAAAGAGTCAAAATCTTAAAGAATCTAGCAAAACTAGAACAAGATGCATCATAATTGGTTTCTATGAATTAAGAAACAATTGATTTTTAACTTCTTAAGCATATTTGTGGTTAAGTATGATAGTATTTGATTTCTTAAGTATATTTGTGGTTATGTATAATAGTATTTGATGCATTTTATTCCATTGCGAAGAGTATTAATGATTATAACTGACAAGTTTTATGTGCTTTATGGTTTCAAATGCCTCCTACAAAGTTTATATTCGCTCATTTGGTTCTCTTTAGCCCTCTCTGAAATGAAGAAAACTATCATTATCCTACTTTGACAGATGAGGAGACTGGAGTTCAGGGAACATACTAGGCTAAGGGTTTTGCCTTAGAGGCAGCCTGTGAAAAGTAAAGGAGCAAGAACTTGAACCTAGTTCAACTTCCAAAACCCATTCTCCTCTTATCCATTCAATGGATAAATCAAGAAAGAGGTGAGAAACTTATTCTTGAGTGTCCAACGCGGGCTAGGTAATTTTATACATACTATTTCATTTAGAAACTACAGGTTGGGAACTATTATCAGGGATAAAGAAATGAAGATTCCAAGAGGACCAATAACTTAACAGATGCTTGGTAAATGATTGAGCCCTGCTACTGAAAAATAACAGGGAACTCCGGGAGAAAAGATGTTCTTGAACTATATCAGCTTACTGAAATTTGTTAGGAGTGCAAACCTAGGCAGAATATCTCACAAAAGGAAGCTTATTTGTAAAAAGTGGAGTTCGGTTGGCTTTTTTTTTTTTTTCTATTCTGAGGAATATTTTCTTTTCCTTTTCAGAAAATCCAGGTCAGGAACTGTATCTTTGCCCAGCCACCTGCAAACAGACTTGAGAACAATGTAAACCACCCTCTGCAGGATATTGATTCTGATGGAGTAAATGTTGATTAAGCAGAATGGTGTTTTTTTTTTTTAACTGGAGGAATTCCAGATCTTTCCTTAGGCCCGTCTCCCCAGGGAAATGAGCTCTATCCTCAAAAATCTACAGAAAACCTGAGTAAGAATGAAGATTTATGATGGGAGATGCTGGGCGGAAGACGGCTGGCTATCTGGTGGGCTATCTAGAAGCTCATCTTTGTGTTATTAGAGAAACACTCCCGCTCTTGACAGGATATGGTCTGCTTATCACATAATCTTCTCAAGTTTCATTCCCATTCTGCTTACAAATGCCCCAAATATAAAGAGATGCATTTCATCAAGACAGCCTTTTAAGAGGCAGTTGATCCCAGCTGTTGCCGTCTATCTTAAACACCTACCTTTTCACCCTAGTGTGGAGTTTACATGTCGATAAGGGATGTAAAAAAGGGAACTTGAGAAATCTCAGCAGAGGAAAAACACCAAGGCTGTCTCCGGGGGTTGGAGTAGGAATAAGAGCTCAGGAAGCTCTAAGTTCCAGAACACCCCTTCTTTTCAGAGAGGAGCCCTGGGGCGATGCTGGCCTGCCCCAGGCCTTGAGCTGACCTCAAATACCAGGGACTGGAAACCCTTTACCAGGCACATAAGCTGAGGGTTTCATTGCCTGCTACTTTGACATTTTCTTGTCAAGAGCTGGTGGTAAAACAGAAGTGAAAGATGCAGGTAGGAACAGGAGAGCCAGACCTGGAAGGTTTTGGCTCACCCATGGACCCTCCGTCCTGGCATTGTCCATGCTCATCCAAGATGAATTCTCAATACCTGCTTTCATGACACACATATGTAGACCTGGGATGCATTCCCAGATGGCCAAGTGGGATATGCTGGCAAATGACCTGTGAGTTTTCTCTCACTCCTGAGTCTGCAAGCTCAGAAAGCCAGGGGCTCTTGGAGGTTGCTAAGTCCAGAAGACTTTTATGCAGAATACGGAGTGGGAGGTTAGAATTAAGTATTAAGTGGGCAAAACAGGAGGGGTGGTTTCAGAGTCCTGCTTGGGTCCTGGTGCGGCCCGTTGTAGCTGATGGGGTGGAGGCGGGGAGGTATCTCCTTTGTTGGAGAAGAAATAAACCTGTGACTGTGAATCCAGTCTGCTCCCTCCTAAAGACTGGGCTGCAGTGTTTGAAGTCGGGACTGGTGTGTTTCGGGAAGCTGGCTACATCAGGTTCCCATTAGCCCAGGCAGCCGCACCAGTGGGTTCACACCGCGACATGGTAACAATTAAGCCTTCTGCTACTGGTCCTTACCCTGAGGTGAGGCTCTTTTCCTTTTTACCAATGTGACTTAAAGTTGCCCTGGTTTCCTTGTGGCTCGATTTCCTGCAGATTCCCGTTACTTCATGTCTAATCTTCTGAGACCACTCATTAGACCACACAAATTGGAACAATTGTCTCCAGCACACAGATCCTGTTCAAGACCCTCAGTGTACCTAGGAAAAAGACTATCTCTCTGAAACGTGAGAGTTACTTCCTGTGTAAATAGACGAATTACAAAAAATCAGAGGTATAAATATTAGGGAAAATAAACTAATTATACGCCCATACCCTGAGGCATGCTAAAATTATTTTCTTCCTTTAAAAAAAAAAGCAGTGGGTTAGAACAATTATTTCCATTTTCAGTGATGAGAGAGATAATACATGTACAAATGACTGTAGTATGAAGCAGAAAAACAAAAAGATACCATTACATGCTATGGTTTTTCCAAGCAAGAAAAATATTTCTTTATAGAGAATAAGCCAGATCAGAGAAATTGCCATTTGAGTTGAAACTTGAAAAATAGGTGGAATTTGGATACATGGAAGTTGGTGGAAAGAAGAAAGAAGCATTTAGGAGGGGGAACAAAAGCAACAAAAACGTGGGCATTTTCTTAGTACTTATGTAGCTTAAGCACTGATACACGCTATGGGAAGTAAAATAATGTATAGATGCCTCTCAATTTACAAAGAAGTTATGTCCTGATAAGTCCATTGTAAGATGAAAATATTGTGAGATGGGCCGGGCGCGGTGGTTCAAGCCTGTAATCCCAGCACTTTGGGAGGCCGAGACGGGTGGATCACGAGGTCAGGAGTTCGAGACCATCCTGGCTAACACGGTGAAACCCCGTCTCTACTAAAAAATACAAAAAAAACTAGCCGGGCGAGGTGGCGGGCGCCTGTAGTCCCGGCTACTCGGGAGGCTGAGGCAGGAGAATGGCGTAAAAACCCGGGAGGCAGAGCTTGCAGTGAGCTGAGATCCGGCCACTGCACTCCAGCCTGGGCGACACAGCGAGACTCCGTCTCAAAAAAAAAAAAAAAAAGAGAAAATATTGTGAGATGAAAATGCATTTAGGTGCCGGGCACGGTAGTTCACGCCTGTAATCCCAACACTTTGGGAGGCCTAGGGGGACAGATCACCTGAGGTCAGGAGTTCAAGACCAGCCTGGCCAAGACGGTGAAACCCCATCTCTGCTAAAAATACAAAAATTAGCTGGGTGTGGTGGTGCATGCCTGTAATCCCAGCTACTCAGGAGGCTGAGGCAGGAGAATCACTTGAACCCGGGAGGTGGAGGTTGCAGTGAGCCGAGATCGCACCACTGACTCCAGCCTGGACGACACAGCAAGACTCCGTCTCAAAAAAAACCAAAAACCAAAAAACAAAAACAAAAAGAATGCATTTAATATACCTACCCTAGTGAACATTATAGCTTAGCCAAGCCTACCTTAAACATGCTCAGAACACTTCCATTAGCCCATAGTTGGGCAAAATCATCTGGCAACACAGTGCACTGTAGAATATCAGTTGTTTACCCTCATGATCCTGTAGCTGCCTGGCAGCTGTGGCTCACTGCCCAGCATTGAGAAAGAGAATCACACTGCTTTCTACTGAATGTATATTCCTTTCATACCATTGTAAAGTTGGAAAATGTTAAGTTGAACCATTGTAAGTTGGGGGCTATCTATAAGACATAGGTCCTGCCTTCAAGAGGCCTTCATTTGAGTTGAAGTGATGAAACAAACACAGGATAGAAATAACTTAGAGAACAATGTAAGACATGTATGATCTTAAATCACTGCAGACCTAGGTAACATTTAATTGTGGTATGTAGGTGATAAATAAACATGATTTCAAGTAAAGAGTTGTCGAAGTTTGGTGAAATAGTGAGACCAGATTTGAGGGGGATGATGTTTAGTTAGATGCTTAGGGCTGAAGGAAAGTCATTAAAAGAAAGGAGAAAATGAATGAACTGAGAACAAGACAGGCCACATGCCGCAGACTAGTGGTTCTCCAGCTTCAGTGTGCATCAGACTCATTCAGAGAACGTGTTAATAACATACATGTCCCTGAGCTCCACAGCAGACTTTCTGATTTAGCAGGTCTGGTATGAGGTGTGATGAGTTGCATTCTGGCAAGCTCCCTAGTGATGCTGGTGCACCTGGTCTGGAAACTCACACTTTGAGAACTGCTGTGGACAGATCAGCATGCCCAGAGCACAAGCATTTACTTGGGGAAAATAGTGGGAAATCAGACTGTACAAGGGAAGTCCACCAGAAAAGTATTAAAAATCAGTTTGCTGTAAATTCTCTTCATTTTCCTGATGGTTGATTCCTCATCTGAACAAAATCATAAACACTCTTGACTTTTTCTACTCCCAAATGACTTCTTGGTTTAGCATGAATTACTGAGAAAGAAGAAAATCACGGTTTTATGCCTCCAGAAGAAACTACCATGGTTAAAGCTGGATATCATTTCAGAAGACAGATTCCATGAATCCCTCTGCAAGACACATATTCTTAAATAGTTTTACCTCTTCCAGGAAGTGTGGTCTGTTATGGGACTGGTGTTAAGGAGCTTTACACATTGAACGGCCACTGTCAGAGCCAACCCCCTTAAAACCCAAGTGTTAAAAACACTGACCAAAGAGACATAGCAAAATGATGCACTATTTCATTGCTTTCCTAAGAGATCCACATGATTTATTATCTCAAATGTTTTATAAATAGCAGTTATAACCCTTATTACATTATCTTTTGCTTTTGCATATTTAAATAAAAACTTATTTTTCCCCCTATTTTCATAGAAAAAAGAAGTAATCCAGATGAATGTGGGGGTGAGGGGTGAAAGATGCCCAAATTTGAAAACTTTTTTTAAACGTCTTCATTCTGTTTGAAGTAAAGCAATCTCATAATCTTCTTTCTACACTATGGGGTTTTTAAAATGAGTTTCTCCTGGAATTTGTTAGCTTGATGGAGGTGGAAATGTTTTCCTGTAGACAGCTTTTCTTACACGTGTTTAAAGATCAAGCTGTAATATGGTATGTGCAGTACACTCTCCAAAATTTTCTTCAATCCTTTGACTATTGAAGATAAGAATTGTGTAGTATGCAAATGACAGTGATTAGAGAACATCACAGTATACCCAGTTAATAGCATGATTCATATTTATGAAGTACTAATTTCATATAAATACCAAAAATATATACTGATTATACTGTTCAAATTTTGAATTGAGCAAATAAAACAAACTAGCTAGGAAGATAATTTATTTTATAACAGTGAACCACATTTATCATTTATTATCTTTTCTCATGATTTAATGGGTGAAGGATAACTAAAGTAAATAACTTTTAAGGTATTTCTTTACGTAGAAATAAATGACATATTTCAGTTCCATAATGAAATTAGGGACCGATATGGTTTGGCTGTGTCCCCACACAAATCTCATCTTGAATCATAGTTGCCATAATCACCACATGTCATGGGAGGGACCCAGTGGGAGGTAATTGAATCAGGGGGGCGGTTTTTCCCATGCTGTTCTTGAGACAGTGAATAAGTCTCATGAGAGCTGATGGTTTTATAAAGAGCAGTTCTCCTGCACATGCTTTCTTGCCCGCCACCATATAAGACGTGCCTTTGCTCCTCCTTCACCTTCAGCTATGATTGTGAGACCTCCCCAGCCATGTGGAACTGTGAGTCCATTAAATCTCTTTTTCTTTATAAATTACCCAGTCT